TTTTTTTTTTAACATACTGAATTAGGTAGATTTTCTACTGTAAAACCAAGTTTGCCGTCCGGAGGTAACTTGATCTGATCTATGTCCTAACCCATGACTCGGCGCTCCACAAATCCTGAACTCCCTGTACTGTGGATACCTGCCCCTCTATAGTAGACCCACCCGCTTCAAGGGTTGGGTGTTCAACCAAGTTATTTTAATCTCATGGCGCCACCTGGTGGCAAATTTAGAAATTTCTGACTTGATCTCTTTCTTTTAATTTTTTAATTTTATTAAAGCAATTCTTTAAATGTTTATTCTTGAGAGAGAGAGAGAGCGAGCGAGAGAGAGCGAGCGCTTATGAGCGGGGGAGGGGCAGGGAGAGAGGAAGACACAGAATCCGAAGCAGGCTCCAGGCTCTGAGCTGTCAGCGCAGAGCCCCACGCCAGGCTCACACTAACAAACCAGCAGATCATGACCTGACCTGAAGTCAGATGCTTAACCGACTGAGCCACCCAGGTGCCGCTCTTTTGTTACTTTTTAGGGAAATGTATGGGTGGTTTCTTCTGTTATCACTGACACCTGTCATTTGATCTAATTCTGTTTCTTCCTTGTACCTTACATTTATCCCATTTACTCCCCTGTCATTCTTTCACTTCCAAATTTCCTCAGTATACTCATGCAAATCATTCTTTTTTTCCTTCCTTTGTTTTCTTCTTTTCCTTCCTTCCAGTCTCTCCTTTCGTTCTTTTATGAGTATAAATCTACCTCAGTTGAGGTTAACCATGGTTAAAGTAGTGCTGGGAACTAAGGGAAAAAATACAGGACGTATCTTTTAATGAAATCTGAGACAATCAAGTACCAGCCCTGCTAACCTTCAGAGTCCTTGAAAACACTTCAAGTTCCCTTTGAAATGTTCTCAGGTTTCAGGTACTCCTTAATCACCTAATTAATCCTGCCCAGTTTAACCTCAAGCTCAAGTATTACAGAAAAATTTTAAGACTTTTAATAAGTTTCATGGTTTCTGTGTTCCTTTATTACTAGCTTTGACAAATAAGGGATTTCTACTGTATTTGACTACAAAGCCTCAGTTTTTCATTGTGGCTTAAACTGCCTGGAAACAACTACCACTGATATCGTGCTGTCCATGGGAAAGAGCTCACCACAGATGCCCTTCCGGTACATAACTGATGTATAAGATAGAGATTGCCAGTAACTACACTTCTACCTGCTTGAACCACAGCATAGAACATACTGTGAGCAGTGTTCTCCCCAGTCCGAGAACTCGGGCGTGGATAAGCTTGGCTGGTTTCGTGATTTCTCTGTAGAATTTACTGTGACTTCATTTTTGGTGTCTCTAAGGGCTATCCCTGAGAATGGAAGGTGAGTCAGCTGCAGGAGACAGACCAGAGGAAGTAGGGCTGGAATCGATCTCTTTAACCTCTGCAGTGCCAACATGGACACAGAAGAGGTTTTTATTTCTCGTTTGTCTTAATCCACCCCAGTCTTCTAGCAGGCAGGCACAGTCTGTTGAGAATTTGCTTCTTCAAAGACATATTGATTTCAAAGGAGGTCTGTGAGTCTGCTTCGTGGCCAAAGGACATTTTAATAGTGCCTAGATTAATCACTAGAGAACCTCAAATCAAATATAAAATCTGATCAGTGTTATTTTAACACTTTGGGATCCATTATTCTCGTGAAACCAATTTATTTGTGTGGAGTTGCTACAACCATTAGAATTCTAGCATCCATTTGAAAGGGAGATGTCACCTGATTCTTATTTCCACATTGTAACAGTGGAGATTCAAGACTGGATTGGAAAAAAGAAAAAAGTTAAAAATTAGGAAGAAGATTGCTTTGGCACTTTGGTTGCCCAGGAGGCCCTGCCCAATCCGGGGTGACAAGGGTGCTTTTGTCATTCGGTACTATTTGACTTCCTTCTGGGTTCTTTTGCTAAGTGCTTCCTAACCCCTGATGTCTCTTTTGAAAGGTGGGGACCCAAACTGTATGCACTGTTCCAGATGCGTTCTTCTCAAAGCAGTATAAAGCAGATGTAACAGGAAGAAGGCTCCCTCCCTCGCTAGGTAAGTACAAATAGCGGCCATGGCCAGGGCCAGCCCACCTTTCCATGACACCTGCCATGCCCGCCCCTTGGCTGGACCCCATAAGACCCAAATCTGTTCACCCACAGCCTGGAACCATTAATCTAGTGGAGTGAATCCCCAAAGGAGGTCACCTGGAGAAACCCCTACCATTATACCATCTAGTTCCACGCCCTGAAGGTTCTGTCTCCCTTGTTTGCATCTCTTGGGCTCTTTGCCAGTCAAGCACATCTTCCTCCAATAGTTTTGACGTTGGATAAGATGAGACTTTGTCCGTAATCTATGTGCGCTGATGGGACAGGCTGCTTTAGACTGTTCTCTTTTGTGATGTGGAGTGAGTATTGCAGCGCAAGCTCACGCAGATGATGCCGTGTGCTGCTGGGAATTCAGAAATACTGAGAAATGAAGGGCTGTCCATATATAATGAATAGAAGAGATCCAGAATCGGTTCATCAGCCAGGTTCGTGTTCTGCAATGATCTCAATTTGGAAACATTTAAAAGTCCTTGACCAACACGGTCACCTTGAAACAGGTTGTTTTAAAATTCTTTAATTTCTTTGGCGGAGACTGTTAAGACCCTTCCCATTTCTTTTTTTTTTTTCTTAATTTTTTTTAACATTTATTTATTTTTGAGAGTGAGAGAGACAGAGCACGAGCGGGGGAGGAGCAGAGAGAGAGGGAGACACAGAATCCGAAGCAGGCTCCAGGCTCCGAGCTGTCAGCACAGAGCCCGACGCGCGGCTCGAACTCACAAACCGTGAGATCATGACCTGGGCCGAAGTCGGACACTCAACCGACTGAGCCACTCAGGCGCCCCTAGATTTTTTTTTAAATGAGATTTTAAAAATGGTCATATAAGTTCGACCCAGGTCCAGAATTTTTAGAAATGATGTGCTTCCTTGGTCTAGGATTTTGGATTGCTTCAAAATGAGTTTAAGGTCGTCCAAGAAGCTCGGACGTTCTGTGATATCACCCAAATGTTTCCAGTGTTTCAACGTCCACTTGAAAGGCTTGTGGCACATGCATCATTGTTTTGAAAGTGGTGTAGGTACTTGTAAATTCATAGAGTCCCAGTTAGTCCTATTCCTGATTCCTGGGATTTGAGCTAAAATCCCAACTTCGCACATGCTCTTACGTCCTGGCGAAAGCCACAGACAGTTCTCTTCGTGGCTACTCCTCTTTAAACCGTTGCTTCCAATGCAGGGACTTACGTAAGTCTTTCCATCTTGTTTGCCGATGGGCAAAAGCCCCCCAAGTTAAGATGTACCTGATGATTTGCGACTGTCCCCTCACCGGTTGTCATCTGTTAACATTTTTGCTTTTTTGAGCAAATCCTTTGAGCGAGTTTAACTGTGTGCGCTTGTCATCAGAAGCAGGAAGAGAAGGTTTCTGCATGAGTCACCGGGAAAGTCAAGATCAAATGACAGAGTTCTGAATTATCCCGAGATGAATTTATTAAAGGATCAAAGGAGTTGGCAATCGCCACATCCTTCAGCTTGAAACGTCACAGAGTTGGCGGCCTTGGAAAAGTGCCGGGGCCTCTGTGGCTGATGTCGTGGACCCAGGAGAAGGGATAGGGACTCGCGAGTGGTCTTCTGGTCCTTCTGCTGCTGTCCTTAGGGCGTCCCAGCAGAAATCTCACGCGGTCTTTGTTTTTGGCCAGCCCATGGCGTTTCGGGGAGGAGGAATCAGAGGTTCACGTACAGTCACAGACAAGTGAGAACTGGCTGGTTTCTTCAGGGACAGAGGCCCCATGGACACAGGTGCCAGGGGGCCAAATTGCCCATCGCTCCCCAAAGCCTCTGGCGGTCTGGGGTGTCCGGACTCCCAGACTTCTTGCTCTCATCCTCCAGGCCTTGTCCTTTGTCTGAGGGGCTAGGTTGACTGTGGCCTGGGAGGCCGGGTGAGACCCTATCTGAAGACCCTCATGCCGGAGCCTCGAGGGGGAGGTGGCCTGAGGTGTGGAAGGCAGAGCTGGTGTAGGGAATGTGAGCTCACCCCTTGGGCACACCTGTCCCCCCCACCCCACCCCCAGCCTGCTCATCTTGCTCTCCTGTGATTCACGTCACGAAGGTGTTCGTACCTGTGACACGAGCGGTCTCAGACCCGCCCCTCGCAGTTCTGGGTCTGAACGTGGCGAGATCCACTCCGTTAGATTCCCTCTGAGATGGGAATAGTAGCGGGGCTGCGGTCGGAGCCACCTGCCTTCTGGTCGTCCCAGAACAGCCTGTATTCACCGCACGGCTTCAGGAGCGCTCCCCCCCCCCATAATTCAGCAGCACACTCCACCGTGGTTAAGTGTCCCCTACGAAATGTGGGAGGAGGTCCAGGTCCGAGGCCTCACCAGCTCTGCGATGCCAATATGCAGGTGTAGCCCAGTCCTTTCTCTCCTGACTTTCCTGTTCCCTCCCTGTCTTCGTGCAGGTCCCTGGCATCTGACACACGGCGAGCTGTAGGATGAGGACATACCAAGCCGTGCCTGATGTTCTGAATGTGTCTGTCCCCCCCGAACCCTGAACCTCAGCTGGAACCGGATGGACAAGAATTCCCCCCACCAAGGGCTCTTTCGCCGATGGTTCTCTTCACGGCTCAGTTTACTGTTGGTTTTCCCTCGCTCGCTATCCTGTCTCTCTCCAAACCTCTCCTGGTTGCCTTTCCTAGGGACAGACCTTAGGAAGCTGGGCCGGGACTTGGGAATTTGTGCATTGCGCCCTGAGGCCCCAAGCATCCGCCTCGTCCTGTCTTCAAGGCACTGCCCCCCTCAAGAGATGCCTGAAGGCATCGGCTTCTGAGAACCCACTTTTTTTTTTTTTTCTGCATGTCTAGCTTGTAAGGAGGGATATATGGAGAGCATTTCCTAGAATTTTCCACTTTTTCACAAAACGTATGTGACTTATTTTTGGCTTCGAACTGAGAGCAAACGTCGTGGCATACCGCTCCGTTTTACTTGTGCACATCTGTGGAGTCTGGAGAAATCGATGCTACATTCCCTCTCCTGTCTGGGCTGTTTGTATAATTGTATATAAATGTAGCAATAAACATATTCTAACATCAGCCTGGGGCGCCTGATTCTGCGTCCTCGCGGTAGGCAGTGTATAAATAGCGTGTTCTCAAGGAATTGCCCTGCTGACCGACACGACCCGGCTGCCCCGTCCTCATCCTCCGCGATTTCACAGAGCGTCAGTTTGGAGTTGGCCAGTGTTGGGCGAAAGAAGCCTGAGGAGTGTGGGGGCAGAGCTGGGATGTGACGCGGCATTATTAATTCACCAAGGGGCACTATGTCTGACACTCTGGGGTGGCTCAAATGTCCCAGGGCTGAAGCTCAGAGGATTGGGTGACAGTGTGCCTTCTGAGCCATTTTAACAGTGGCTCTGAAGTCCTCCAAGAACAAAATGTGTTACAATCACCCGGCAGGCACCTGCAGCCACAGTTACCTCTTAAAGATTTCCAGAAAAAAAAAAAAAAAAAGGCAAAATACGCCAACATGATGCTGAATTTTCCACCTGTCCCCGATGTCCTTCAAGGGTAAGGAGTCGAGCCGTTTAAGCAAATGTCCTCCTAACGGGGACAGACCCCTAAGCAAATAACCTTTCGATTTGGCGGGGATCATGCCGTCGGTCTCATGCCAAGGAGGATTTGTTCCCAAACTGGTCTCATAGTTCGCTTGAAACTTTTGGTTATCAGGCATTTTTGCAACTGAAAAGAGAATCACATACTTTGTTGTGGTTTCTCATCAGGTTGCTGTCTCTCAGGCTCCTCCTCGATTGGAAGAGGAAGTTGGCGCACAAGTTTTCCGCCCCCGGGATGTAGTAGAGCTAGAAGTCGGGTGTCCCATGCCAGCGTTTGAAAGACGGCTCCGTAAAAAGTGTGTGTTTCTTCTGAGACGGAGAGAAAGAGAGTGCAAGCGAGCGGGGCAGGGGCAGAGACAGAGGGAGGGAGAGAGAATCCCAAGCAGGCTCCATGCTGTCAGCGCAGAGCTCCGTGCAGGGCCCCAACTCACCCACCGTGAGATCATGACCTGTGCCGAACTAGGTCACTGAACCCCATTTGAGCCACCCAGGCGCCCCTCAAGACTGCTTTTTTTTACGCATAGGAGTATAGCGACTGGAGGCCCGAGGAACACGCGGGTCGGAAGCCTCGAAAGCCACCGATTCATAACCAGGAAGGTGCCGGGTCTGTGAATTCACCTTCCGGCAACCTTCAATTAAACTCCTGTCCTCCCACACAGACATTTTCCACCCACGGTCTAGCCATGGCTGGTGATATGGGGGGACGTTATCTAAAAAGATAGGTGACAAATTATCATTTGCTTCTGGCGACGGTGTCATAACAGATAAGCCCAATTATAGACACGGGCCACGAAGTCTTCTGTTTATGAGCTGTGAGGATGGAGAAGTGGTCTTCACCTGTGGTCTTAAACCTGGGCAGCAACTGTCTCGCCTCCCCACTGGGAGTCAGGGATAAGCCCCCCACTCTGTGCCTCTGATGGGCCTGTTGGGAGATGAGGTGTCGGACTGAATGATTTCCCGGGATCCTTTCTGTTCTTTCTCCTCCTCTGGCCAAGGGAAGGAGTAGCCAAACCTCAGTGCAGCCACCTAAAGGTCAATGAGGGGCAAAAATGGGCAAACGGAGGCAGGAGAGTTAGGAAGGTGGCTTACATCCAGAGAGAGGGGAATAAACTGCATTACATGCACGGCAAGTCAGCACCTACTTCTCCCACGGGAGGAAAGACTCAGCTCACTACCACGCCATCGGGCTGGGTCCCTTCTCGAAGCTGTCTTTTTTTTTTTTTTTTTTAATTTTTTTTTTTAACGCTTTATTTATTTTTGAGACAGGGAGAGACAGAGCATGAACGGGAGGTCAGAGAGAGAGGGGAAATACAGAACCAAAGGGCTCCAGGCTCCCTGGTAGAGCTGTCAGGCACGGAGCCCGCGCCTCGAACCCATCAACCGTGA